TACAATGGCTTTTGTGAGTGGACTCTACGGGATACAATGCCACAGAGTCCACCGCCCAAAGGATCCATTTTCTCCAAGGGAAGTGATCTCGGTAGTCTGGCGATGAGTAGTTTGGGTTGGATGTAGTAGTTTGGGTGGGATGTAGTTTGGGTGGGACCTGGGAAGGATCGGAACCTCCATAGACTCTATGCAGTACAATGGACTTTATGAGTGGACTCTACGGGATACAATGCCACAGAGTCCACCCCCCAAAGGATCCATTTTCTCCAAGGGAAGTGATCTCTGTAGTCTGACGATGAGTTATGATTCCGGGGGATCCCCAGGTCCCATCTGGAGGCTGGCACCCCTAGTCTTGGTATAATGATGGGAAAGCAGACCTCTCTGTACTGCATAATATTGTGTTTGGGAGATGAATAGGCCTGAAATTGTTTGGAATGCACTTTTCCCTGTCTCAAAGTAATTCAGAAATCCTTTTGTAGACAGTGCTCATCCATAACATCCTCCAGCACAGCGAAAGCGGCTCCACCGACTTGCTTAAAGGGATCGGCCTCTGCGTAGCCCTCTTCCTCGCAGAACTCACCAAAGCAATTTTCTGGGCGTTGACGTGGGCTATCAACTACCGCACCGCTATGAGGTTGAAAGTCGCTGTGACCACGGTGGCCTTCGAGAATCTGCTGGCGTTTAGAACTTTGTCCCACATTTCCGTTGGAGAAGTAAGTGGTAAGAAGGCATGTCCTCTGCACCCAAGGGGATTGCCCAGAGAGTTTAATTTTTAATACTGGTTTGGCAAAACGTTTATAGAAAGGAAACGCCGATGCTGTGTTTGCAGTCATCTAAGGCCAAACTCTCCTGCCAACCTAGCAGTTCGAAAGCAAGAAATTGCAAGTAGATAAGTAGGGACCACTTCGGTGGGAAGGGAACAGCATTCCGTGTGCCTTGGCATTTAGTCATGCCGGCCACATGACCACGGAAACGTCTTCGGACAGCGCTGGCTCTTCGGCTTTGAAACGGAGATGAGCACCGCAACCCTAGAGTCGGACTCGACTGGCTTTCGAGCAAGGGAGACCTTTACCTTTAAGGCCAAACTAGGCTGATATGGAATTATTAGGATGTTCAGTCTTTGTTTTCATTCAGCTAATTGGCAGCACCAGGTTTGAAGACCAGGGAGGGGTCCACAGGGGAGTGAACTCCTAAAACTTTCCAACTCGTGCCTCCTCCATGACTTTATAGCTTCTACTCCTGCCTCTTCTCTGATTTGTATAGCCCCCCTCCTCCCGACCAAAGCTGCCATTTTCTCAATGGGAGGAAAAAGACAGGCACAACCTGTCTTTTTCCTTCCATGGAGCTAACGGCAGCCTGGAAGCGTGGAAGAGGCATGGGAAGAAAGAGCTGGATCCTTCCTCCTGTAATCACCTGTCCTCCATTTTTCAAAGTAACCCCCTGAGGCGGCTGCTTAGTTGTCAAAAACTGGGAGAGATCCTAATCCAGGGGTGTCAAACCTAAGGGGGGGAGTACTGGGGGGAGTGGGCGGAACCACTCCATTGTGGCTTCAGCACGGCAGAGCAACCTCACCTTCAGCAGTCAAGCATCATGGGAGCATCTGCCCAGCACTGCACTGCTGCCACTCCAGTCCGCCTGTATGGGTTTTCCTCCGCACCCCCCGCCAAGCCCAGGGGGCCTTGCAGTGAGGATACACCAACTTGGAGCTTTGTTGTTGTTGTTCAGTCGCGCAGTCGAGTCCAACTCTTCGCGACCCCATGGACCAGCTCCCGCCAGGCCCTCCAGTCTTCTGCCGTCCTCTGAAGTTGGCTCAATTTCATGTTCGTTGCATCTATGACACTGTCGAACCATCTCATCCTTTGCCGTCCCCGTCTTCTTTGACCTTCAATCTTTCCCAGCATCAGGGTCTTCTCCAGTGAGGGCTCCCTTCTCATTGGGTGGCCAAAGTATTTGAGCTTCAGTTTCATTATCTGGCCTTCCAGGGAACAGTCAGGGTTGATTTCTTTTAGGATTGACTGATTTGATCTTCTTGCAGTCCAAGGGACTCTCAAGAGTCTTCTCCAGCACCATAGTTCAAAAGAATCTATTCTTCGGCGCTCGGCCTTCCTTATAGTCCAACTCTCGCAGCCATACATGACTACTGAAAGACTATTGAAAGAGGTAGTCAATCTTTAAAGGTACAATTGTGGTCTTAGGGTACTGTCTCAGTGATGATCTGGTTCTTATAGATCCACATGGGTCAATGCAGGGGTAATTCATGAGGACAACCAGATGGATTTCACCTAGAGAACTGGTGTTGAGTAGTTTTATTTATTGGATTTATACCCCGCCTTCCCCACCAAGGCAGGCTCAGGGCGGCTAGGAGGTTACCTAGGGCACCAGGCTTTAAGGGGCATCAAATCAGAAGTGATCCCCCCCCTCCGTGTTTTAAAGAAGTATATTAATATGTTACAAAAGTAGCAAGTATTGTATTTCTCAAATTTCTCTATAATGAACGTGGGGGTAAAGGTAAAGGTCTCCCTTGCTCGAAAGCCAGTCGAATCCGACTCTAGGGTTGCGGTGCTCATCTCCGTTTCCAAGCCGAAGAGCCAGCGCTGTCCGAAGACTTCTCCATGGTCATGTGGCTGGCACGACTAAAGAACATGGGGGAGGGTCACCCAAATCATGGTTTGCCAAGGGCAGCAAAAACCCTTTGTCTGCCCCTGACAGGCGATTGCCTGAGGAACTCAGTGCCATTCATTTGCTTCTTTCAGGTGATCAATTTGTTAGCTAACGATGGCTATCGGATGTTCGAAGCGGCCTTGTTTTGTCCCCTGCCAATCTCCGTCCCTGTGCTGATGGTTGCCTGCACCATCTATTCGTGCCTTATCCTCGGTCCCACGGCGCTCATTGGATTGTTGGTTTACGTTCTGTTCACGCCTTTACAGGTAACACAATCAGTTTCTTGAGCAACAGCTATTCTAAGCGAGATCCACCCATCATAAAATGTTGGGCCATCATCGCGCTACGGTAATAGTTCATAACTGGATTGTCTTCTCCGCGCCACAAAAATCGTTTTGCAAAGAATTACCGTATTACCGCAACAGATGGGTAATAGGCAATGATATATGGACGCAGCCAAAGAGAGGTTCTTGCTCCAGCATAAACTTTCATAGTCCATTTTGCCAGATGCTGGGAATTAGATAATAATAATAATCTTTCCATTTATTAATCGCTCCATCCATGCAGAGCTGCCGGCTCTGAGCGATGTACAGTTACTCATGAATATCACATGGGACTAACAATGCTTGGGGGTAAGGGAAGACAACATATATCAATTAAATCACACACATGTTTTTATCGTAGTCAACGGAGATAGTCAGCAGCAAGGTCCAGGCATGTTCCAGCCACATTCCTTCCCTCGGCGACACTTGATGTTGTCAGCGTTGTCTCAGTCGCAGCGCACCACTGCCACCGTCTGGCCGAGTGGCCTATTGCAGGCTATTTCTTGCGGCGTAGTTCTTTTTCCAGCTTACGGATCTTACGCGCAGACCATCCGATTGGCTAACACAACCCCACCCTCTCTAAGGAGTGGTGCCCATTTTATCTACTCGCCGAAGCTTTCGAACCGCTGGGTGGACGGCGAGCTGGGGACAAAGACTGGCAGCTCACACCAGTGCGGGGCTTGAACTGACAGCACTTCTGTTCAGTTCAGATGTTACTGTAACCAGAGGATAAATCCCCTGTGCCACCGCTCCCCTCTCCAATCCCCTTTGGAGATACCTCCAAAGAATAAAAATTACTAATAACAATTACTGATACACAGCAATTTTGTGCGTGCCTGGGCCTTTGCACGCTATCATTGGTTGCGGTTATCCGATCTCCTGATCTTGTTTTTCACTTTTAAGTTGTCGGAGGGGTAGAGGTGGTGTCAAATCATCTCCCCCTCATCCCATATCTAAATACAGGGTTGCCAACCTCCAGGTAGGGCCTGGAGATCTCCTGAATTTGCAAGCGATCTCCAGACTACAGAGATCAGTCCCCCCTGGAGAAAATGTCAGCTTTGGAGGGTGGACTTAAGGGCATTACACCCCGCTGCAGTCTCTTCCCCTCAAATCTCCAGGAATTTTCCAACCCAGAGCTGGCAATTCTATATACCCTCCACAGGTACTATTTGCCCACATTGCAGGGGGGGGGGGGAGACAGGCATCCCATTGCAGTTTTTGTTAAATCAAGCAAAACAGTTCTATTACTTTGAAAATTCGTCCAACTGACCTTGCAGTTCTTTGTCCAATAAACCCCCTTGCTTATTTCCCGGCCAGCCGATTCATCTGTATCCCTTGCATGCTCTAACGGCGTCTGGCCTGTTCTTCGCAGATGCTCATGGCTAAGCTCACCTCCATATTCCGGAGAGCTGCCATTTTGGTGACCGACCAACGCGTGAGGATAATGAACGAGATTCTGACTTGCATCAAGCTGATCAAGATGTATGCTTGGGAAATGTCCTTTGCAAAAGCTGTCAGAGGTACGGGGGAGGGGGAGATCACACCTTTTTTTAAACATTCGGTGCAGTGCCTTAACTGGATCATTCTCAACAATGTCCGTGATTTGCTGATCATTTGTACTGCCGGGCTGTCATTTCCAAAATGATATATTGTTGCTCAGGCAGTGTGTGTTGTTGTTCAGTCGCACAGTCGAGTCTGACTCTTCGCGACCCCATGGACTAGATCCCGCCAGGGCCTCCTGTCTTCCGCTGTCCTCTGAAGTTGGCTCAGTTTCATGCTCGTTGCATCGATGACACTGTCTAACCATCTCATCCTTTGCCGTCCCCGTCTTCTTTGACCTTCAATCTTTCCCAGCATCAGGGTCTTCTCCAGTGAGGGCTCCCTTCTCATTTGGTGGCCAAAGTATTTGAGCTTCAACGGCGTCTGGCCTGTTCTTCGCAGATGCTCATGGCTAAGCTCACCTCCATATTCCGGAGAGCTGCCATTTTGGTGACCGACCAACGCGTGAGGATAATGAACGAGATTCTGACTTGCATCAAGCTGATCAAGATGTATGCTTGGGAAATGTCCTTTGCAAAAGCTGTCAGAGGTACGGGGGAGGGGGAGATCACACCTTTTTTTAAACATTCAGTCCCGTGCCTTAACCGGATCATTCTCAACAATGTCCGTGATTCGCTGATCATTTGTACTGCCGGGCCGTCATTCCCAAATTGATATATTGTTGCTCGGGCAGTGTGTGAGTCATCACTGAATCACGACAAGCCCATGTCTCTTGCAGGCATAAGGAAAGCGGAAAAGAAAATATTAGAAAAAGCAGGATATGTCCAGAGTGTGAATTCTGCCCTTGCGCCAATCGTATCTACCCTGGCCATTGTCATGACCTTTATCTTCCACACCCTTTTGAAACGGGAACTGACAGCCTCTGTGGTAAGACTTACCCTGCATTGCTCTCGGTCTATAATGTTTTTTACCTGTTAACTCTGTATCCCTGTGGCCCTTTAGCGTATCGGTGGTGGGAAGGGGTGTCAAGTCGCGCAGCCGACTTACGGTGACCCCTGGTGGAGTTTTCAAGGCAAGAGATGTTCAGAGGTGTTTTGCCACTGCCTGCCTTGGAATTCATTGGTGGTCTCCCAACAAATAATAGTCAGGGCTAACCCTGCTTAGCTTCTGAGATCCAACAAGATTGGGCTAGCCTGGGTCTTCACCACATTAGAAGGTTTCCCTTGCTCGAAAGCCAGTCGAATCCGACTCTAGGGGGCAGTGCTCATCTCCGTTTCCAAGCTGAAGAGCCAGCGCTGTCCGAAGACCTTTTTGTGTGGCTGGCATGACTAGATGCTGAGGCACATGGAATGCTGTTACCTTCTCACCAAAGTGGTACCTATTTATCTACTTGCAGTTTCTTGCTTTCGAACTGCTATGTTGGCAGGAGCTGGGGCCAGAGACGGGAGCTCACTCCATCATGCGGCACTCGGGTTGCTCTCTCTCTTTTTGATAATAGTTTTTTTATTTTGTCACAAATCAACATACAAAACAAAGACACACAAACATATATTACATACAGATTGGGGGGGTCTTCTGAATATATAGTAATAATCTGTTCAATTACTTGTTACAGTATCCAGTTGGTTGTTAAAATCTCTCCCTTATAATAATTGAATAGCAACGTTCTATTTCGCAACATTCTAAATTTGGCCCCTTTAGTGTTAGGCCGGAAAAACTGCCACTCAGAAGACACTGGCTGGGTTGACTGGCTGCTTTGTGCAGTCCCGCCCAGCATTCCAAGGTTATTTGCATATGGAAGCTGATTGGACTACACTCCATTCCACACCTCAAACTCACCCCCCCCGCAAGGCAGTTGGGATTTTGTTGCATAACATACCTCATAGGGGAGAGGAGAATGATGTCAGCTGCCCTTTCCCTAGGCAGAGGCTGTGGGTGTGTGTGTGTAAAACTTAAGACAGACATGCAGATTAAGGCTGGAAACTTCCAGGATATTTTAGGGATGAAGCCTGCTGAGGGTGGGGTCTGAGGAGGAGGAGGAAGAGGGGGACCTCAGACAGATACAATGCCATACTGCCCACACTCCAGACAAGCTGTTGCCAGTCTCCAGGTGACAGCTGGAGAGATCTTAAAGCTCTGGTGCTAATTCAAATTGTTGCAATTTATCGACAGTAATTCTTGGCAAAGTAGATCCTGATTTCTCAGGGATGTTTACTTTTAACCAAGGTCAATTTCTAAATGCATAATTGCTTCCCTAATAAAGCCAGAGGAGCTGCGGTGGCTCAAGTGGTTAAGACGCTGAACTGCAGGCTGTGGAAGGTCGGTAGTTCAGCAGTTCGAGACCTGAGTGCTGCATGACGGAGTGAGCTCCCGTCTCTAGTTCCAGCTCCTGCCAACCTAGCAGTTCAAAAGCAAAGAAATTGCAAGTAGATAAATAGGTACCACGTCAGTGGGAAGGTAACAGTGTTCTGTGTGCCTTGGTGTTTAGTCGTGCCAGCCACATGACCACAGAAACGTCTTCGGACAGCACTGGCTCTTCGATTTTGAAACGGAGATGAGCACCGCAACCCTAGAGTCGGATTCAACTGGCTTTCGAGCAAGGGAACCTTTACCTTTACTAATAAAGCCAGACTCTTGCAGACAGTCACTGGGGGAAGACCTTCTTTATTATTATTATTATTTAAAAATAAAAATGTAGGCTTACAGTGGCATTCATAAGTGAAAAAGGGTTTACATTGCACAATCTGCTGAAAGAATTTCAGGAGACGGTGGAGGAGGAAGAACTGAAGTCATGCGGGACAGGCACTCCGAAATGGAACTAACTGTGTGACATTTGAATGGCTCCCATTGGTGGGGTGGGAAGTGCTGCCAAGTCACTGCTGACTGATGGTGACTGATGTCGGGTTTTCAAGGCAAGAGACAGACAGAGGTGGTTTGCCATCACCTGCCTCTGCGTAATGACCAGGACTTCCTTGATGGTCTTCCATGCAAATACTGACCAGGGCCGACCCTGCGTAGCTTCCGAGATCTGACGAGACCAGGCTTTAACCATTATCCCGTTGACTGTCATTTGTTGTTCAGTCGCACAGTCGTGTCCGACTCTTCACGACCCCATGGACCAGATCACACCAGGCCTTCCGGTCTTCCGCAGTCCTCTGAATTTTGCTCAACTTCATGTTCGTTGCATCTATTGCACTGTCTAACCATCTCATCCTTTGCCGTCCCCGTCTTCTTTGACCTTCAATCTTTCCCACCATCAGGGTCTTCTCCAGTGAGTGCTCCCTTCTCCTTGGGTGGCCAAAGTATTTGAGCTTCAGTTTCATTATCTGGCCTTCCAGGGAACAGGCAGGGTTGATTTCTTTTAGGATTGACTGATTTGATCTTCTTGCAGTCCAAGAAACTCTCAAGAGTCTTCTCCAGCACCATAGTTCAAAAGAATCTATTCTTCGGCGCTCGGCCTTCCTTATAGTCCAACTCTCGCAGCCATACATGACTACTGGGAATACCATTGCTTTGACCATGCGGACTTTTGTTGGCAGGGTGATGTCTCTACTTTTTATCATGCTGTTTAGGTTCCCCATCGCTTTCCTCCCAAGGAGCAGGCGTCTTTTAATTTCATGACTGCTGTCACAGTCTGCAGTGATCTGGGATCCCAGGAACGTGAAGTCTGTCACTACTTCCATGACTTCCCCTTCTATTTGCCAAGGAGTGATGGGGCCGGATGCCATGATCTTAGTTTCTTTGATGTTGAGCTTCAAGCCCACTTTTGCGCTCTCCTCTTTGACCCTGAGCATGAGGCTCTTAAGGTCCTCTTCACTTTCTGCCATTAGAGTGGTATCATCTGCATATCTGAGGTTGTTGATCTTTTCCCCAGCAATCTTAATTCCCGCTTGTGATTCATCCAGGCCAGCATTTCGCATGATGTACTCTGCATATATATTAAATAAGCAAGGCGACAATATACATCCTTGTCGTACTCCTTTTCCTATGCTGAACCAATCAGTTGTTCCATATCCGGTTCTAACTGTCGCTTCTTGGCCCTTATACAGGTTTCTCAAGAGACATGTAAGGTGGTCTGGTACTCCCATCTCTTTAAGGACCTGCCATAGTTTGTTGTGATCCACACAGTCAAAGGCTTTAGCATAGTCAATGAAGCAGAAGTAGATATTTTTCTGGTACTCTCTTGCTTTCTCCATAATCCAGCGAATGTTGGCAATTTGATCTCTAGTTCCTCTACCTCTTCGAAACCCAGCTTGTACTTCTGGTAGTTCTCTATCCACGTACTGTTGAAGCCTAGCTTGTAGGATCTTGAGCATGACCTTGCTAGCGTGTGATATGAGTGCAATTGTGCGATAGTTTGAACATTCCTTGGCATTGCCCTTCTTTGGGATTGGAATGTATACTGACCTTTTCCAATCCTGTGGCCACTGTTGCGTTATCCAAATTTGCTGGCAAATGGAGTGCAGAACTTTAACAGCATCATCTTCTAAGACTTTGAATAGCTCAGCTGGAATACCATCACCTCCACTAGCTTTGTTGTTAGCAATGCTTTCTAAGGCCCATTTAACTTCACATTCCAGGATGTCTGGCTCAAGGTCAGTGATTATACCGTCGTGTTTGTCAAGGACATTGAGGTCTTTCTTGTATAGTTCTTCTGTGTATTCTTGCCATCTTTTCCTAATCTCTTCTGCTTCTGTTAGGTCCCTACCGTTTTTGTCCTTTATCATGGCCAGCTTTGCATGGAACGCTCCCTTGATTTCTCCAACTTTCTTGAAGAGATCTCTAGTCCTTCCCATTCTATTGTTTTCTTCTATTACTTTGCACTGTTCATTCAGGAAGGCCTCCTTATCTCTCCTTGCTGTTCTCTGGAAATCTCTGTCACTACTTCCATGACTTCCCCTTCTATTTGCCAAGGAGTGATGGGGCCGGATGCCATGATCTTAGTTTCTTTGATGTTGAGCTTCAAGCCCACTTTTGCGCTCTCCTCTTTCACTCTGAGCAAGAGGCTCTTAAGGTCCTCTTCACTTTCTGCCATTAGAGTGGTATCTTCTGCATACCACTGTCATAAGGAAGAGATATCTGTTGTTTTGGAAGCCCGGTTAAAAATGTAAGCTACAGCGTACTTACAAGATTTAACATTTCAACAAATATTAACTTGAGGTAATACCCATTTTCTCTTGCAGGCTTTCAGCGTGATTGCAATGCTGAACGTGATGAAGTTTTTGATTGCCATTTTACCTTTCTCTGTGAAGGCGGCGGCAGAAGCCAAAGTTTCTCTTAAAAGACTGAAGGTAAAGGGGGGGGGGAGGTGATTGCAAATAGCTTGGATTTGTTGAGATCACAGAGTTGTGCCAAAAAAAAAGGAAGAAAAGAAATGCCACTGCCTGAGGTTTCTATACTATACCACTCTTTTAAAATTATCAATATGTATCATACCGTATTATTATTCCAGGGATCACTTTGCTCAACGGTGTAATCTTAAACAGAGATGGCAGTGGTGGAAAATGTCATCAAGTCACAGCCAATATATGGCATCATGACATAAGTCCATCAGTGGCTATTGGCCACAATGTATAGATAGGAATTCTCAGTCTGGGGCAAGGGATGCTCTGTATTCTTGGTGCTTGGGGGGTGGGTACAGCAACTGTGGGAGGGCTCCTATGTCCTGGCCCCACTGGTGGACCTCCTGATGGCACCAGGTATTTTTTGGCCACTGTGTGACAGAATGCTGGACTGGATGGGCCAGTGGCCTGATCCAACATTGGCATCTCTTATGTTCTTATGTTAACCCTGTAGGGCAGAGGTGTCAAACATATAGCCTGTGGGGCAGAACTGGCCCATTCAGGACTCTTATCCGGCCCGCGAGCAACTGGTGCTGTTCTCAGCCCGTGAGGGAAAAGGGGTCACGGGAGGACCAAAAGTGCCCCCTGGAGGTTTTGGAAACAGTCTCTCTGTCAGGCCTTCCCCTCAGCCCTCAGGTTCTTTGGGGAATGCAAGAGGGATGCGAACTGGGGGTGGGGAGATCTGGGGGAGCCAGGCTTTTATGGGTTCCCCGGTAAACCAGTTACTTTCACTGCTAGGAATCAGTTACCTCTCTTTGTATCTTGAGTGAAAAACAATATCACTTATCGGGTTTGCCTATGTCCTTTATCGAGTTTATGATCTCCAGTACCTGGCATGTCGTTTTACAAAAGGAGCTGCAGTGGCTCAAGTGGTTAGGATGCTGAACTGCAGGCTGTGGAAGGTCGGTAGTTCAGCCGTTCGAGACCCGGGTGCCGCATGACGGAGTGAGCTCCCGTCTCTAGTTCCAGCTCCTGCCAACCTAGCAGTTCGAAAGCAAGAAATTGCAAGTAGATAAATAGGTACCACTTCGGTGGGAAGGTCACAGCGTTCCGTGCGCCTTGGTGTTTAGTCACGCCGGCCACATGACCACGGAAATGTCTTCGGACAGCGCTGGCTCTTCGGCTTGGAAACAGAGATGAGCACTGCAACCCTAGAGTCGGATTCGACTGGCTTTCGAGCAAGGGAGACCTTTACCTTTACCTGGCATGTCATTTTACAGCACGTGTGACTCGGCCAGATAAACTGACATTTATGTCAGATCCTGCCCTCATAACAAATGAGCTCGACACCTCTGCGTAGGGTATTCAAAGCAAGAGGCATTCAGTGGTGTTTTGCCATTGTCTGCCACAACCCTGGATTTCCTTCGTAGTCTCCCATCCATATATTAACCAGACTTGACCCTGCTTCAGCTTCCAAGGTCTGATGGGATTGGGCTAACCTGGGCCATCCAGGTCAAGGCAAGAGACTAACAGAGGTGGGTTGGCCGTTGCCTGCCTCTGCATAGCAACCCCAAACTTCCTTGATGGTCTCTCATCCAAGAACTCACCAGGGCCGACCTTGCTTAGCCTCTGAGATCTGAGGGCTAGTCTGGGCCGTCCATGTCAGGGCAAGGACGGAGGCCCATGGGCTTAAAAGGGGTGTAATTCTGCATAGGGATGGTGCAGTTAAGAGTATTACAACAAACCAGTGATGGGCAGATTTGGAACCAATCACTGGGATGTACAATCCCACCCTTGAGCACAGCAGGCTTTTGTTAAATGTTTACTTTGCATGCTCAGAACTATGTTTGGCATCCCAGTGTTGGGAAAGTACAATAGATGGCCCTTGATCTGTGAAAAGTACGCAGACGGAGAGTGATTTCAGCAAAGCGTACTTTATCCGATCAGGAACAAGACAGCTTTGGCCGGCTCGCAGGCCGGCTTATATTCCCCAAGAAACCGCCACCCAAAACACACACCCCACTGCCCAGTAGGTTATTTACAGTGGCCGAGAGTCCGATTGGCTCTCGGCCAGGAACCTAGCCCCCTGATTGGAGCGGGCTAGGATCCGCATAGTCCATTGTCTCTTGGAGCGAAGCTCAACGTTTGTCTCTGGACTTGTCTGGACTTGTCTGGACTTATCAGGACTGGAGACATTACAATCTGTAAGACATGATCCAAGTATTACGAGCTGGCCAAATTTATATACCGAACCAAGTAACTGTAACTTTTAGTGCCATCCCTACGGGCAAGCGGTCTGGACTTTCTTCTTCGTCCACAACAGTGCCTCCATTTTCCGACATGTAACCTTTTGCTCCTGAACTAGATGTTAAGCCTGGCCTTATACTGTTAGACTTTTAGACTGTCTCAGCCCAGTATAGCATGCGTTGATTGCAAGCAGCTCTTCAGGGTGTCAAGTGATCATTCTTGACCGGGGAAGTTATGAATTGCACCTGAGATTTTTGCTACGCAAAGCATGCTGTCAGCCACTGAATCACAGAACTGGCAATGTGAGTTGGGGATAGGGTTGCCAGGCCAGCAGCGGATTGGGGGGACTTATGAGGTCCAGGCCTCATCACCAGTGTTGCACAGGAAGTGATGTCATCACACTAGCAACATCCAGGCATTGCTCTGGCACTTGGACAAAAACTCCATGGTAAAACCAGCTTCTA